GTATACTCGCCCCCGTTGTTCCGCTGCCAACCTAACAAGATAAATCGCGAGGTCCTTCTATTGTATATGCGCAACAAAAAGTAACGATAGTGTTCTGCTTAGCGACAATCACACCATTATATTAGTCTAGCCGCCACACACTCTAGCGCGTGTATTATAATTATATGAGATACTCTTCACTTCGTTTGTGTTCTCCGATTCAGTCTGGCACTTAATTAGGTTTTCATCACTTCAGGCTATTCATAGGTAAGTGTCGAAATGTGCGCGCGCGCTTTCCTCTGTCTGTGCGCGCGTGGTCGTAAGAGTGCAGGGGCACGCGTGCACGCGCGTGCCTGCGCGTATGCGCATGCACGCATATGTCTGTTTACGGGAATGAGTGTGTGCGTGCGTGTATATGCTTGTGTGCCTGTCTATTTGCGTGTAATATAAATAAGAAAATAGGCAAGAGTTCGCGTTTCTGTTTGATGCTTGGCTTTTGTCTGCTTAATGCAAGAGGCATGCGCTATATATATATATATATATATATATATATATATATATATATATATATGCATTGTCATTACATAACCTTACAACACCTCTTTCGGCTTTGTTCGAGTTCGTCATTGTTCGAATACTCCGCGATGTGTATAGTGCAATGGTGAAAACCAGTGTATCCATAGCGGCAATGCATCCATAGCGGCGCAGTTGTTGTGAAAAAATACATCAAACTTGCGTAGAAAGTTATGCACTGCCGCTATATTTCGTGTCTATATATATATATATATATATAAGAAGCAGTTTGATATTTTCTCTCGGAATAAATGCTGAGGCAATGCATGATGATGCCCGATTTTTGATCAGAGATTTATGCCGGCTAGACATGTAAAAAGCATATATTAATTGGTCAATTTGCGTTTATATAGAAGAAATGCCACGCTGGTCATTTATGCAGCCATCATGAAAAGCCCCACTACTGAGTGAGGTGTGAAATTACATCACGTAACATAGTATGTAGCATAGTGTCTAGGCAAGTATATTTGCCGAACCAAGTGTGTATTCTGATTAGCTATGAATTCAGCGTCAATAGAAATAGAGACGAGCGCACACGTGCATAAATACACACATCCAGACACACCGACACACGCATGGACGCACGCACGCACTCACCCACGTAAGCACGCGCATACACACACACACACAAACACATACACGCACACACACACACACACACACACACACACACACACACACACACACACACACACACACACA